TTGGTCCATCACACCCTCTTGCACTCTTCTTCTCAGCCACGCCGAATCCCTCTCTGTCTTCAACTTGCTCTTGCCAATGCTATTTCCTCTCCTGCCACGCTCTCCCTCAGGCCTCCCCAGCGCCTCTCCCAGCCAGCTCCCACTCATCCCCCTCATTTGGGCTCAGATGGCAGCTGTCACCTTCTTAACTCCAATTCCAAGGTGGCTGCTTTTTAAATGATCTTTCTACACTAATAAGCCGCAGGCACCATATCCCCATGCTTAGCACCAGGTGGCACAGAGCGAGCCACCCATACTGCTCATTGAACTAATGGGTTCCCTACAAGATGGGAGCCTTCTGTGATTCAGCCTGATTCAGCCCCTCCTGAGAGATAAGGGCAGAGAAAAGCCATTCCTGACGCCAGCAGCAGTGCCAAATGACAAACGTTTCCTGGATCCTCTTGAAACGCTGGGCCCCGGAATGGAAAAGTCTCTCTCAAAGGCAGATTAGAAGCTAGTGGACTCCGGCCCAGGACTGTGAGTTCTAATTGCTCCCTGAAGCAGGGGAGGGTGTCACCCCCCCTCCATGTCCTACGTATAATAGAGCCAATCAGAAATATATTTCCTCCTCCTCTCATTCAGTCAATAGGGACCAAATTTTAATCACCAGGAAGGATAGCCAGGAGCCTTAGACAATGGAGTTTGCCCTTGAGTAGCTTAAAAACTCTGGTGGGAACTGGGAAGACTAATTTAGAGAGTGCTTTGTGCTGTGGGAGTGACAGGAAGGCAGAGACCCAACCCAGCTGTGCATTCTCTGTGTTCCTTTGGGGGAAGACGAGTCCTTACAATGGTCTATGCATGGGATCTGCTCCAGCACCCCCACCCTGCCACCTTTTAGCATCATCTCCCACAGCCCTCATCTCTCCCCTGCTCGCTGCACTCCAATGTGAGGCCCCTTGCTCTTCCTTGCTTGCAACAGGCATGCTTTGCACTAGCTGGTCCCTCTGCCTGGAACAGCCTTCCCCCAAATACCTCATAACCAACTCCCACATCTTCACAGCTTTGCCCAAACATCACCTTATTAATCAGGTCATCCCTGACCACCGAGCATGGCTCAAGCACACTGTGGTCACTGAGGCTGCCCTGGCTATTTTTTTGGGTGGGGGGCGGGGAGGACTGCAGGGTTAGTGTGATGCAGTATGAAGGGCCCTAGACTCAAAGCCAGACAGCCCTGGGAGCCCTGCCACTACTAGCCGTGTGAGTAAGCCCCCAAACTTCTTCAAGCTTAGCGTCCTCCTAGGTAAGATAAAATAAATGTTTCTTTTGTTTTTGTTAATCTTCACCCTAGGATATATTCTCTTTTTTTGTTGTTATTAATCCTCATCTAAGGATATTTTCCATTGATTTTTAGAGAGAGTGGAAAGGAGGGGAGAAGAGACAGAGAGAAACACCTATGTGAGACAGACACATTTTGATTGGTTTTCTTCCACATGCACCTCGACCAGGGCTGGGGATCAAGCTGCAACTGGTACCTGGCCTTGACCGGAATTGAGCCCAGGACCCTTCAGTCTGTGGGCTGACACTCTATCTATTGAGCCAAACTGGCTAGGGCAGGATATTGTTTCCACTGATTTTTAGAGAGAGTGGAAGTGGGGGTGGGGGGGGGGTGGCGAGGGGAAACACAGAGAGAGAAACATTGATGTGATAGAGACACATCAATTGGTTGCCTTCTGTACTTGGGGATCGAGCCTGCAACTGAGGTACAGATACGTGCCCTTGTCCAGAATCAATCCTGTGACCCTTGAGTCCACAGGAAGACGCTCTAACCACTGAGAAAACTGGCTAGGTCAGGAAAACGTTTCTTGACTCCCTTATTTCACAGGATTTCTATAGGTCCAAAGGAGACCATGTTCACTCGTCTTGGGACCAATGGAAAGGAAACTGCTCTGTAACCTGTAAAGTGCTGTGCTCCTGTCAGTGAGGCGGCTGTTGGCCGACATATGCATTCACTAAAATGGTCCAGATGCCTGGGCCAGCCATCTCACACAACATTACATCTTAAAAATCAAATTGGATCAATAGGGCTGATCCAAAAGGCAGCTCTACAACCAGTTTGTTGTCACCAAGTCCAGACTCATGGGCTTGACCCAGTATTCCCTGGTCCAAAGGGCCAGCTGGAGGGGAAGAGTCCCCAGGTGGCCCCGTGGCTCTGGGCCCGGGGATACCTCCACCCATCACTGGGCTCCTGTCCAGCCTCACATATAAATGGCAGCTCCACACAAAGCAGCAGGCATCAGCTACCCCAAACACAGGGCCATCTTTTCTTTGTAATAGTGTTTTTGAAGTTGCCAGTGACAGAAACTATTCATTGTAGAAAACATAGAACATTAATAGAAGTCTATAGAAGAAATTTTAAATCTCTGTTATCCTGCCACCCAGAGATAACCACAGCTAATATTTATATATACCCTCCCAATCTTTTTTCTGCACATTTAGAGGAATTAGATATTGGAATTAAACTTTCCACAATGTTTTGCTTACTTAGACATTTGGTGTTCCAGTCTTATTTACTTAGCATGAAATCATTAGCATTTTCCTATGCCATCAAATATTTTTTTTGAAAACATTATTTGTATGGCCATATACTAGCCTATGCTAGAGTTCTACCAAGAACTCATTCAGCACTGCATCTGCTTAGAGTGAGACTATTCCAACAGAAACCCAGCTTCCTCTTCTTCCTCTTCCTTCCCTCGCTGGCTCTCCTGGTCCCCATCACTGACCACCCCCCTAACCAGGCAAATGCCAGGCAGAAAGGGAGGCATGAGGGTAAGACCTGCCCCTGCCCTGGGCAGGTTATCAATGTGAAGAAGGAAGACAATGCATCCACAGGAAAGCAGCACCAGGAGCCGAGGCCACATGAGGGGCGAGGAGGCTGAAGATGGGAGAAAGCACTTCCAGATGGGCTGGAATGGCTCCACCAAGAAGACATTGGAGCACCACCACATGCTGGGGCCAGATCACACTGACGAGCAGTACTCAGCACAGGGCAGTGTGGCCAGGGACAGCCCCCCACAGGAGGAAGCCAAGTCCCCAAGTCTGAACCCAGCCTTCAACTTGCAAACGTGGTTCCTGCCACCCGGAGCCTACAGCCTCGAAGGGGACAGATACCAATCAAATAACCTCACCGAAAAAGATAAGATGACAGCTCGTCCATGAAGGAGAGGTCGGTGAGGCTATAAGGACATGTGACCTGGGGTTCTCTCAGGAGGCAGGAGTTGGGTCAGCCCTGTGTGGGAGGAGCAGGTGTGTAAAAGGACCCGGAAGAGCGTCTGTCTGGAGAGCAGAACATCAAGGCAAGGCGCAAGGCAGGCCCAGTGGGCGGAGCTGGACCACGCAGGCCTGATGGGCCTCGCTGGGTTTTAATGGCTGGATTTTAATCCCCGAGGAATGGGAGCTGTTGGGAGGCTTTAGGCAGGAAGATGCCAGGGTCAGATTTGCATTTCAAAGAATTTGTTCTGGCTGTGGAGGAATAATTGGCTCAGGGGGAGGCAGGTGGGGAGCCAAGAGTGGGCGCAGGCATCAATAAGAGGCTGTTGCTGGAGGTGGGGCAAGCGGTGGTGCCTTGGGCCAGGGCAGAGGCAGAGGGGATGGAAGAAGTGGAGGATTGGATCACTGTTTAGGAGCTGGAATCAAAAGGTTGGGTGGGTGCTGTGACTCTCCCGAAGACGCCTGTTCAAGTAGACTTGCTAGCTTGGAAGCATTACCCCGTTAGCATGAAGAGGTGCTCACATTAGCAGGGTGCCTCCTTAGGCAAGTTCCATTAGCGGAGGTGCTAATGAAGGGGGAAAGGAAGTGGGTCAAGGGCCCTGACGGGGAGAAGTAGTGAAGGACACAGGCACCAGGGGGCAGCACAAGGGTCTCGGGAATCAGCCAGTGGTCCCAGGAGGAGGCGGAGCCCAAGGGTCCGGACTGGAGAACCCTGTCTGCTGTCACATGCTGGGGGTGGAAATGGCCGGGGAGAGGTCAATGTGGGGGGGGGGGGGAGGAGACATATGTAATACTGTAATCAATAAAGAATTTTTAAAAAAAAGATTGAGCCAGGATGGGGCTGCCCTGGCGTCTGTCTTGTGTCCTAGGTACCTGGAGCTCTAGGCTCTGGCGGAGCAGCAGCTAGATTTAGAATATAACCACCTCTAGTGGATGACACAGCACATAGTATTATATGCCATGAGGCACCCTGTGGTTAGTGGGGGGAACACATGCTTGGGGGCAGGTCCCTCGAACTACTCCCGGCTGGTCTAGGAGACAGACCTGGAAGAACGTCTGTTTTCCGTCCCACTTCTGGTTTCTACTTGGCCTCTCTGAGCCTCCGTCTCCTCACCTGTAGCTGGAAATGCCCCCTCTGCCTGCTGGGCATTTCACTGACAGTGGGGCACAGGATAGGCACTGGGTAGTGGGAGTTGCTGCTGACAGTCTGAACTCCAGCCGCTGGTGGGTGGAGTGTGAGCTCTGGGCTTGGCGGTGCCCGACGGGGGTTCTGCCCCCTCCACGCAGGCAAATTGCTGACAGTGGCAAAGCCACGTTGCCATGCTTATGGGAACATTGCTTAGGTTTCGAGTTAAAAACAAAAAAAGAAAAGGATATTTGGATTTGGTTTCGTCTAGGCTAGGGTTTGGCAAATGCGTGTGGCGGGGCGGCCGCTCTGGTCCAGGTCTGGGCGGGGAACGTGCAACTAGCGGGGCGTTAGGACCCGGTGCGCGTCTCCCGACCCCGCGCGCCCAGGTCCCGGAGCCGCGGGAGGAGAGGCTTGAATGGGAGGCTGGAGGGGATCCGGCTGAAAGGGCTGCCCGCGGAATAGCTCTGCCGTCGCCAGGCAACCGCCCTGACGCAACGAAAAAAAAAAAAAAAGTCCCTTAAAAAAAAAAAAGAATAGTGCTGAGATTCACGAGCACGAGATTCACGAGCACGAGTGAAAGAGAGGCAGGAGCCGGCTTAGCCCCCGAGGCCGGGCCAGAGGCTGCAGTTGGAGGCGGGGACCTCGGTGACACCCCTGGAAGGGGCCTCTGAGCACCCCGGAAGGTGGGTTTGCGGCCGGGGCGGAGGCGATCCCAGGGCTGGGAATCGGGTTGGGGGATGTGGCTGTGGCCGGCGGTGCGGGCCGGGAGGGGGCTCGGGGCGCGCAGGTCTCCCGGGCGGCAGGGGCGGGAAGCAGCCTGCCTGGATCTGCGGGGAACACCGATCTCAGGGCGCTGTAAGGGCACACCCCACCTCACCCGCCTCTGGGACTCTTCCCTCGGGGGGCGTGGGACAAGTGGCTGGACTCCGTCTCCCAAATCGCAGCTGGCCACCTCCAGGGTTAAGATCTGCGTGGAGATTTGGGGTACCGGGTCTGAGAGGGAGGAGCCCCACTCAGCCTCTCCAGACCGCTGGTCATCTCCAAGGCTACCCTGTCCCTTCTGTCTACTTCAGACTCAGTGACAAAGTTCCTGCCCCGAGCTGCATTTGTAACTCAGGAGACATGACCAACCCACCGAGGGCGCTTGGGCCCAAGGGTGCTCTGTAGGGCTGAGGCCCATGTGATCAGAGGGAAATGCACAGCCCAAAGGGCCCGCAGGAATGAGCAGGCCAGCCCCGAGGTTGGGTCGCTGGGAGAGGGCAGGAAGTTCTGTAGTCCCTGGGAGTGAACAGGTGTCTCCTCCCATCAAGGCAGGTGGGATGTTCTGCTTTAAAACACACACACACACACACACACACACACACACACACACACAACCCCCTATTGCCTGCATCTGGTTTTCATTCGCCTTGGTGTGTGTGGTTCCTCCTGAGAAGGTCTGGTAGGCAGGTTGGTTTCCACGAACTCCCAGCCATTCCTGGTGAGTCTCAGGTGGGATGAGCCCAGGTTCCCATCCACAGGGCCATCCCCAAAGTGCTCAGGGAGGCCAGGCTCTGAAGCAGCTTCCCTTCTGACCTAGGCAGTCCTGCTGCCCACCAGGCACAGATGGGGAGTGCAGAGTGTAGGCAAAGTCCTGGGAGAGCAGAGGTGGCGCGCACCTCTGGCCTGACCCCATCCTCAGGGTGGGAGCTGCTGCCAGCATGTCTGAGGGGCTTGGCAAAGCACCCACGGGCTGTATTTAGAGGGGAAAGATGACAGCTCTTCTGTCCTGAGTGCATTTACCAGCCAGGCACTGCTTGAGATGCCTTCACATCTGTTGGTCATTTTATCTTCACAATTGTCCTTCCAGGGGACATACTATCCCCGTTTTGCCAACCAGGCTGGAGAAATTTAGTAACTTGGTGCAGTTCACGTGGCTGCTGAAGAGCAGAGAGAGTCATTCAACCTCGAGTGCCTGACTCCTAACTAAGACAGTGCCCTTAAAGGATGGCTGCTTTAGCAGATCCCAGGAAAGAGACCTAGAGGGGGGGTGGAAGCCAGTCTCACCCAGAGCTGTGTGACTGGCTCGTCCTGTGACCTGGGAAGGTTCTTGCCATCTCCAGAGACCCTGTGGAGCCAGGAAAGCCATTGCTGTATCAGGAGTCTGAAAGGCTCTGTAATCGGGCCTGGCTCGCTTCTGCCCTGCTGACCTGAAGCAGAGAGAAGGGTCCTCCTCCCCCCCCCCCTTTTTCCCCTTGCCCATCTGAAGACCCTCAAGTTCTCATGCACTTGTTCTCATCTCTCCTTGTTCTCCCAATTACATGCATGGATTTCCACTAGATTATCAGTCCCGCTCCCGTATTCACCAGCGTGGCCTCTAATAGGAACTCTGGCTGAGAAGTAAATTAAGGCAGAGCCTAAGAATTTCCTGAGGTAGATCCACAGAGCCCCAGGTCAACGAGGAAGAAACTGCTTGTTAGGCTGCTCACACACTGGGGTAGTTTTCCATAGGTAAATTTTGCTAGGGGAGAACTCCGTTGGCCCGATAACAGCATCTGGAATTCCCAGGACCCGCTGGGGGTGTGTTCTCCCCACAATGGCGCTTTGCTTGACTGGGAGGTTGAGCTATTTGCAAAGGTAGAAGATGAATGATAATCTGAGCAGCTTGCTCTCTGGCTTACAGACTAGGGGTGGGGGAGTCCTCACTCATGAATTGGAAACTCTTAAGGATTAACCAGGACGGCTCTTAAAATGCAAATGTAGCCTAGGATTTGGATAGGGGAGAGGAGTAAGGAGGGAAAGGCAAATTCTGAAGCAGACCTTGAAGGGGTGAGGATGCGTTGAATGAGGGCAGTGGGTACATGGGAGCAGGGTGAGACTGGAGGTGGGAAAGAGGCTCAGAAGGGGGGTGACATGTAAGCCTGGCTAACTTTCTGATCAGCCTGCAGAATGTGAGCTGCTGCAGAGGGTCAAGCTACCAACTTGAGTTGGGAAGGATACACATATGAGCTTCTCCATGGTTAGGAGAGTGGCCCTGGAGCATGAAAGCCCAGCACTTCCCCGTCTTTATCCTTCTTCTCCCCCAAGACACACATACTTCTCTCATTGATGAGGAAGGAAAAAAGGGAGAAGGGAGGTGGGCAAGAGGAGAACTTAGAGGCTTGGGCTGCCCCAAGCCCATCTTCTTTCCTCCTGAGTGCTGCCTGACCTTCCCACCCGCACCCTGCAACATGCTCACCCATGAAAAACTCCTTGGAGAAGGGAGTGCAAAGAGCAGCAGCCCATCTCCCAGTGGGCCCTGCCCATCAAGGAAGGGCTCTCCCATCTCTAGTGGTAGAAGGGTAGTGAGCTCTCCAGCATCAGGGGCCTCTTCACACCTGGGTCCCTGCCCAGCAGCCTTTGCAGAGCCCCAGGAAGGTGTGGAAGTTCAGTTTCTCCCAGGGTGCAGACTGAGCCCCATTTCTTCAAGGCAATTTTTCTAGTATTGCCAGAAATTCTCCTCGGATATTCTGGTCCAAGTGTGGGAGTTGGTAATGGGTCCCCAAAGACTTCCTCAGAGGGCCTGTCCTGTGGGAACTCGAAGGGAAGAACTGATTTTCCAGATACATCATGGGCCCAGACAGTGACCTCTGCCTCAGCCACAGTTTCAGGGTTTCTTGAAGACTGAGCAGCATTTCCTCATTCCAGAAAGCCAACAGAGCCTGTGAGTCTGACCCAGGGTGACCCGGAAGGCCAACTGGGGAGTTCTCAGGGGGATGAGTGCCGGGAGCCGGTCCATCCTTGCTGCTTGACACAGTCGCTGCAGGAAAGAAACATCTGCACAGCATATGTTTCAAGGGACCTGGCATATATAGCATATTGTTCTTAATATGTTTGCTCTCTTTAGGCCATGTGTTTTAACCAAGGTCACCTCTCCGAGAAAGGTTGTTTCCCCAGGTGGGGATTTTTCCCTGAGGTTAGGGAGGGGATACAACCCCTTAATTAAGTGCCAGGCGGGTAGTTAAGCTACATAATCTTTACTCCCTGGAATGGAGATAAGAAACGCCCTAACCTTTGTAATAGAAATTGACAGGATTAAAATCGGCTGGTATAAATACGGATGTAACAAGACAATAAACATCAGATCCTCATGAGATCCTCATCACATCCTCATCACATCTTCATCAGATCCTCATCACATCCTCATCAGCTCCTAACCAGAACCTAGACAGAGAACATGGCAAAAGATCCTGGACAGAACCTGGCTACAGAACTTCACTGGAGAACCTAGACAGAATATGGCAAAAGAACCTGGATAGAACCTGGCTAAAGAACCTGGTGACTGAACCTGGCTGGAGAACCTGGCGAGAGAACATGGCACCAGAACTTGGTTGGAGATCCTGACCAGAACTTCGCTGGAGATCCTGGAGGGAGAACCTCGCTATGCTGATGAACTGAACCCAGTTTCCATGTCATTCATTCTTCGCCGACTCCGTCCACACCTTTGGGGATCCCTGGACCCGTTGGGGTTGGACCCCAACAGATGAGTACTCAGGAAGGTTCTGGATCAGGATCCTGGACTGGAGGCCAGTGAGGCCCTGGTGCCCCTGACCACCATCAAGTTAAAAGTGGCACTGCCTCCCTCTCCTGTGAGCATTGACATGTGCTATGCTCTGGAGACAGCACCATACTGTGAACTGACCTGAATCCATTTGGTCACATCTCTCAGGTTTTGTTGTGTTGGGTGTTTGGTTTATTTGTTTGACAGCAGCCACTGAAAACTTTGAGGACGTGAAGGCAGACCTCGTTATCAAGCCGAATAAAAGCAAGCCTTTGACCAAATTCTGCCACATATGCAGATATTTTCTGAGCAACTATTTACTTGCAAATGGGTCCAGCAGCGCTCACACAGCTTGTTCTGTGGGCTAGTTGCAGCCATCTGCGTCTCTAGATGCCCTGACCGCATATCCCTTGAGGTCTCACTGCATTCTTTCACCTGCTCTTACAAGAGTCAAGTGTGTCTCAGAATTCATTTGGCCAACCCACATGTCTTGAATACCTCTGCTTTCACCAAGGAGAATGCGTTTCTAATGTTTACTCTGCTAATTATCAAATGCCTGGTATTGAGCCGACAGAAAGACAGCTAAAGTGCTGGCCATAGTCCACTGGAGTGGGGTGACAGTGTTATTAGAGGCCAAACTAAGAATTTGCATACACTCTACTTCATTGGATCCTTCCAAAGCTTTGAGGTAGGTTCCATTATGATCCCCAATTTATGGATGAGGAACCTGAGAACTATGGGGTTAAACCAATGACCCAAGGTCATAGAATTACTAAGTGTTCTTAGTAATGTGGAAGGAGGTCACAGGTCCTGCTTTCTGTTCTGCTTGTGCAGTGCCTGAGCCAAATGTCCCCTCCAAGCCCCAGGGCGGGGGCACCTTGGGTGAGTGGCAGGCAGCGCCAAATGTTGCTGGTCAGGCTGTGCCCAAGCTGGAACCACCCTCAACTCCCCATCCTGGAGTCATTAGGACGGGGCCCTGCCCACACACACACAAACTCCAAGGGCCCTTCAGCCGCCTGGGAGGCCGGCAGGTCCAGACATAGTATGAAAGCGAAGTGACTTGCATGAGCACGGAGCACACCATGAGACTACTTAGGAAGTCCTCCTGAAACCAGTGAGTTGGAACTTGCAGAGTGAGCGAGAAAGCCAGTCATCAGAACAAACCCACTTGAGCTGGGACTTGTTGATTCTGCTCATTTGAAGTTGGAGCCAATTATCCTGTGGGTTGGGATAGTCCTAAATCGGTCTTGTTTGGGGGACTGAGACAAATGCCAGTCAGGAGACACTGTGTAGGCCGCATCCCGCTGCGGGAGGATTGTGCATCCTTGGTATCCTGAGCCGTGAATGGTTCCGCAAGTTTTAGCCAGCTGTTCCCTGTTCTCATAGCCAGAATACCGGCTCAAACTGTGCCTACTTTGATCTCTGCAAATTGCTTTAAAGGCCACCCTGTGTCTACTTTCTGCTCCCTGAACCTTGCTGCCAGGGCCTTTGGACAGGAAGTTTCTATGGTCACATGCAGCCGTCGGCAGGGATGGCCACGGAGGCTGCCTCTGCCCTTCCCGGACATCTCTGCCTTGTCAGGTGTTTTCATGGAGGAAAACCTTGCTTCATACTCTTCCTCTCCCAGGGCTGATTCCGTGCCTCCCCACCCAACTCTCAGATTCCCAGGCACCTTTCTCCTGCCTGTCAGAGCAGAGCAACCCTTTCCCAGGGCCTCACAGCCTTGGAAAGGCCACCGTGGCAGAGACTCTGGGTAGCCTGCAGCCCCCTCCCTGCAGCAGCCTGCACTTTCTCCTCTCCTTTCAGTGAGGCAATAAATTAGATTAGATCTATGGCTCCTGGGAGCCAGGGTCTCCCCCACACCAACAGGGAACACAACTTTTTCGTGGTGATTTCCTCGGCAAATTCTTTCACTGGGCAAAATGATGGGAAAGGTCTCCACGTTCCCAGCCTATGGCAGAGGCCTGTGAATCTGCTCTAAGCAGCCAGGAGCAGCACCCATCAATTATTCAGCACAGACTGAGAGCTCTGAATGTGCAAAGGTCTTAACAAGTATTTTTTATAGATTCTAGCCTCACAATAGCTTAGTGAGACGAAGCAAGGTTTCCCTGTATTTGAGACAACAGAAGCTCAACCTGGAACCAAGATCAACCCAAGCCAGTCAGCCACACTAACGGTGCTGTGTGACCCTGGCAAGTCTGGCGACTTCTCTGGTTTGTGGTTGTTCTGTAATAACTCTCAGGAAGGTCTCTCCGGCCCAGGCCATCCTGTGTGTGTGTGGGGGAGGGGGGGGGGCGGGGGCGGAATCTGTATACTGCAGTGTGATTTCAAACTGTTAGTGATTGCTCTTGTTGTTTCAGGTGTGGAAACAGATGTTTTGAATACGCTGAGGTACAGCCATTAGCACAGGATGTTGCAAACCCACCTGCACTGAGTGACACATCCAGGAGTACAGGTAGGTCGGTGCCTCTGCCTCTGCTCCCGGTGGGTGTGGCTCTGCGACGTGGTGACAGAGTCTATGCTGTGGTTTAAAGTCTGTGCTTGGGGCACAAGGAAGTGTAAAGGCCATTGCACCAAAACACATTTCTGAGGGAGAGAAGTGGGAGCTTTCGAGGGGAAGTGAGTTGCCATAGTAACTGAAGGTGGGATGGGGCCCTTGGGGCTGTCTCCCAGGCCAGGAGCTCTCCTCTCTCCTGCCCCTGGCTGGGTATCCAAAAGGGTTGTCTCATTCCCATCTCCCAGGAGTAGGGCTAGGACCCCGGGCAGAAGGTGGCCTGGGGCTGCCTGGAGCAGGAGAATCAAGGGGAGTGAGGAGCTTTCTCCATGAGGCTGAGAAAGATGGACCCTGGAAACTTCAGGTTTAGATCCTTCCAGCTGAGCTACCTCATCTGAAAAGACACCCTGTTTCTATGCGTCTATATTTAAATCCTATGAAAATATCCAGATGGCCTTGCTTGGCCAGGTGTTCATCCAATGGACCAGTCACTCTTGCCAGAGTAAGACCTAAAAGGAATGTCTGTCTGGGTCACATGAGTGTTCCTGGGGGTGGTGGCAATGGGCAGGGAGCTGTAACTCACAGTCCCTTCAGATCACCTGACCCAGGGGTGGTGCCCACAGAGGGATGCTAAACAAAGACATAGCTGACCCGCCTAACAGGTACATCAGAAATGTAACTAAGTCATGCAACGTAGGAAGACCAGGGTCAGTACCCAAGACTGGTGTAGAAAAGTGCTACAATTTTGTTTGGAGAGGAAGTGGTCAGTTCCATTCAGAAAAAGCAATGACTGTAGAATGAGGTGGTGAACTAGGCTCAAAGACTTAGTCAAATTCAAACATGAGTTTATGGGGAAAGGATAAAGCATAGAGTTTAGACCAGCCTCCCCCAAATCCCTGCCCCCACCCCCTAATTCAGACTCACTAGAAACATCTTGATCTTGCAAATCTTACCCATGAACCTGCAGGAGGTCTTCTGGGCAGGAAACCACCTGGATGTGTGAACTATTCAGGCTAGAATTTGTTCACTGATTCACAACATTGCAGTCTCCAGCGTTCATTGAACATCTGCTGTTTGCAGAGGCCTGTGCTCAGGACACAAAAGAGAAAGTAATATCCTTCCCATTGAGGAGCTAGACATCTGGTCAAGGAGACAGGACACTCTCACAGTTCAAGGTCATACAGGCCAGTGAGCCATGAGCGTAATGGAAGCCAGTGCCAGAATTCAGACAAGGAATGGCCTGGAAGGTGGGGTGTCTTTGAGGGCTTAGGAGAGGAGGCAAGCCTTCAGTTAAGCCCTAAAGCAGAGCTTTAGAATTGGTGAGGATCAGGGAGTTCCCAAATGGGCCAATGACAAACAAAGGGATAAAAGTTCTCCTTTATTCATTCATCCATTCAATCACTCGTTCATTCATTCAACAAGTTTACTGAGCACCTACTATGTGCCAGGCACAGCAGTAAACACGAGAAAGTCACTGTGCTCAAGGAGAAGTCAGGTGAGAGAGCCAAGGCTTGAGAGCAGGGAACACAGCCTAGAAGAAATGGCTGGATTCTCACAATGGTTTGCTGCCAGGACAGGAGGAATAATCCATAGCTTCCAGGAAGTGGAAGTGGAGGGTTCTCCTTTGTGGGCAACGTGCAGCCGGCAGGTGTGCTCTCCCCTGAGGTGTAGATCAAGGGCACATTTGGGAAAGGCCTCACTATCATGTGCACTCTTGACACCACCCCACTTCTCTCACTAGCATCCCCCCTGCACATCATCATACACACGCAGCAATGTAACCCACCCCTATCCCCCACCTGTACACAAGCACACACAATGTCCCAACACAATTCTCTCCCACCACGCACATCTAACTGGTGCCAAGGGTCTTGCCTCTGGATGTCCTTCCCCCCTCTCAGGCGCTCGAAGTACCAGCTCTGACCAAGACCTGGAATAAAGATGAGCCAGGATAGATGATCTGTGTAGAGCCAGACCAGCGGGTGTCTCCTCCTGCTTCGGTCACCATGGCAACCTCTGATGAGGAGAGAAAACACAATCTCTGGAAGCTCCTGGAAGCTCCCTGGCTCCTGTGGGCAGCTCTGTGGGGTGCAAGCCTGTGTCCCCCAGCCTCTCAGCCCCAGCATTGGTGCTCCTACAAGTCTGCAGAACACAGGCGGGGATTTCACTGCCTCCATCCAACGCAGCCGCCGGAGGTCAGTCCTGAGTCCTGGCCCTGAGCTCCCTTTTTTAGTTGAGCACCAGGATTTATGAGTAAACCCAGACCAGAAAGCCTGCCTTGTCACAGCTCCGAGTTAGAGTCCCAGGCCGAATGACCCCATATCCACCTGGGAGGAAAGCATTATCTGCTTTAGAAAAGGAAAGTAAAAGACTGAGGTATGAGTGTGGCCTGAGCCACCCTGAATTTCTTTCTGTTTATAAAACAGGTTCTAGTCCACCGAGCCCTTCCCTCACTCTCATGCCTCTGCAGGGTGGATGCTGCATCACCCCATTTTCAAAAGAGGGGCAGAGAGCCAGGCAATGAGGCAAGGTGACTCCCCAAGTCTCACTGCTCCCACCAGGGGTGGTTCTGGTCTCAGAATGCAGACCCACAGCCTGGGGAGCTGGGGTCCCCCTTTGATCTCAGCCTCTGAGCGGCTCTCCATCACATGGGCCCTGCCTTGGTCTCAGGTAGGAGGTGGGAACATGCGGCTCTGCGGAGAGGAGGGGGGTGGCCTGGCCTGGCCAAGACTGGGAGTCAGAGTGGGGGCTTCAGCTGACTTTCCTGCAGCCCTCTGACTGCCCCCCGCCCCCCACACAAGCACTGGCTATGGTTGGGGCAGATGCTGCTTATCCTTAGGCCACTCCTGAGCTCAGGGAATGACTCTCTCTAAGGAGTCACCTCTGTTGAGCACACTCAACAGAGGTGCTGGCTTTCGGGAGTGACCCCTGACCTGGTTGAGGAGCATGACAGCCTCAGAAGGGGGTGAACGCTCAGAGGTGGCAGAAGGCTCAGCAGCGGACACAGAGCCAGAGGCACTGTGCCCCCGGAGCAGGCCCGCTGCTGTGGTCTGTCTCCTGCGGGGACATTTCTGCTATGAAGCATTGGCCATACTGTGGTTAAGGATCCTGCAGGATCTGAGTTTCCTCAGCAAGGCTGGACTGGGGGGATGGGATGTCTCCCTGCCTTCATGTGCCCACCATTGCCTACTATCCACTGCTCTGTTGCTGGGAGCAGGGCCGGCCTGGACTGCAGGCAGGGCCTCACATGCCTGTGCAGAGCAGTCTGTGGCTCCTCTGCTGAGCGTACAGAGGGTGTCACCAAGCCTAAAACCAGAGTGTGTCAGTTTATGCACAAGGACCCATGGATGGCACTTCTGCTGGAAGGAAGAGTGTAAGTTCACATGCATGAAGTTGTTATGTCCTCACCAAGCATTGCCTGTAGTAGACTGTAAGTTAGGAAACATAGCTATGAATGCAGATGGACTCCTGGTAAAAGCTTCTTTAAGAGGACAATGGTCACCACCCCGTGGTTCTCCCTGGAGGTGGCACCAGCCCCTCTAAGGACACATGGAGTTGTGGGGAGGGAAGTCACCCTGTTTCATGACACTGCTCAGCCCTCAGTTATACATATCGCCTCCCCAAATGAATTGTACGTTCCCCTCATTTCAGCCAGGGCTCTTGGTTGTAAGCATCAAAAGACAACATTATTGTAAGGTGTTCACAGAAGTGGCAGGAGGTAAAGACTCAAACAGGCAGAAGCAGGGCCTCTGGGAAAACAGGAGAGAGTCCTGTGAGTGAAATGACCCGCTGAGACCGTTCAGAGAGGTGCTAGGTTGTGACCCACACAGTGCCCCACACCACTTTTGACACCAGGCGTGTGAGTTTCCACACCAACCGATTCCCCGGTTCTCTGCAGCCACCAACTGAGTAGCCTATACTTTAACTCAATTGGACACTGTCTACCTAAAGCTGGCATCAGATTCCGCCAGTTAGGGGCTCAGTCCCACTAGACCAGTGATGGCAAACCTCTGACACGCGAACTCATTTTTTTGGTTGATTTTTCTTTGTTAAATGGCATTTAAATATATAAAATAAATATCAAAAATATAAGTCTTTGTTTTACTATGGTTGCAAAGATCAAAAAATTTCTATATGTGACACGGCACCAGAGTTAACTTAGGGTTTTTCAAAATGCTGACACGCCGAGCTCAAAAGGTTCGCCATCACTGCACTAGACTGTCCCCCACATCACACATCAATCGCAAGTCCCAGGTTGTCACCTGTATTTCTAAGTGACTGGCTATCAATCAGGTGTGAGGGAGGGGTGCAGAGCTCCCAGGCCCTCCCAGGCATGTTGCCCTCCCAGCACCCCCTATCTTCCCCAACCTGGAAGCTCTCTGAATCCCTTCAGTTAGGCTTTTTTTGGAGGCCTCATTAGATAGGCATGATCTATCACCTGGTTATTTCCCCTGGCCGCCGGCCCTATCCTGAGGGGCTATCCAAATGTCAGCTCATTGACATGAGCTCCAGTGGGGTCGAGAGAGCCTTGCTGTGAGTAACAAAAGATGCTCCTTTCATTTGTATCAGTATGCAGCTGTCTCAGGAGCTGGGGACAAAAAGCAGACATTATAACACAGGTTTTCCTATCACTCTCGTCACCTAGAAGATGAAAAGCGTTTTTAGGAGCCCAGCAGTGGTGGCTCAGTGGTTAAGTGTCAACCTATGAACCAGGAGGTCACGGTTTGATTCTGGGTTAGGGCACATGCCCAAGTTGCAGGCTCAATGCCCAGTAGGGGGTGTGCAGGAGGCAGCCAATCAATGATTTCTCATCATTGATGTTTCTCTCTCTCTCTCCCTCTCCCTTTCTCTCTGAAATCAAATATAAATATAAAATGTAAATATAAGTATATATTTAAAAAGGGTTTTAGGAGTTCTGTCTCAGGAGCTGGGGATAGAGACCAAATATATTTCTTATTATA